CAATATCTCCAAAGATAATGTTACATCACGCTCCGTAAAGAGGATAATCAAAACTAAAATAATTATCACAACCTAATAAGAATGTTGGGAAATAGACACACCACATGTTGATAAAATTTTCACTAGCTCAGGAGCTGGTAAAAATCGAAGGCCTCCATGCAAGCTCGTTTCATAAACAACAAGGTACCCTAGTGGCGGAGCACATGCTCAATCAAAAAGTATAAGAGAGGTGCCATCAAGTTATTTAAAAATAAAACTACTTCATAAGGAATAACAAATCATCATTAGTAATTATCTACCCTATCTCTTTAGTATTCTGATATCTTTTGTGTCATTTTAAACTCAGTTTTGACATTTTTAGAACTCCACAAGGCACCCATAATAACATAAATCTTCTTAAAGTATAAAGCCTCGGGAGCTTCGAATTTATGTCGAAGTTTTTTTTTTTAATACTAACAACATATTTTCAATTGACACAAGCAACATCGCCAAAAAAATACAGGTTAACTGTGATATCACTAAACATTATATGCTTAAACATAAATCATAATGCATTTTTTAGTAATAAATATTCTAAATTCAAATTTAAGACTGTTCGAGCCACAATTTCTACAAATTTATAGTCTAACTGACCTTCTCGACAAGATTGAATGCAAATTTTCTAAAACTGGTTTAATCTGAGTCCAACCAAGCCCAAATAATGTTAATAAAGCACAATTATAGGCTTTGGATTAATAATTGAATGTTCAAGTGAACTCTAAATGTTATTTTGACCCCCAATTAATGAACTAAGGTAAAAGGGCACTTTTGTAATGTGGTACCGCTCACCTACCACATCTCACCAACCGTTCACTTACCATTTACCTACGGCTCACCTACCACTCTCTTCCTTCTATAAATAGAGAGGGTGTGAGGCTTAGGAGAGCAAGGGAAGAGATCTTAAGGGTGTGAGGCTTAGGAGAGAAAATGGAAGAGATTTTAAGCTACCACAAAACAAGAGAGAATAGCTAGAGAGCTAGAGAGGATGAGAGCATCTTGAGGCCTTGTATTAAGGTGTCGCTTGAGAGGGAGGTCATAGAAGGAAGATTAGGGCCCAACTCTATGTATAAGCTATGTATTCTCCATTTCTTTTTCCTTAGTGAACTATTTGATTGATTTCCTTCCGTGGACGTAGATCCAGTTGGATTGAACCACGTAAATGATCTGTGTTTGCTTGTGTTCTTTGCGTCTCATTTCTATGTCAGGAAGTACATATCTCACAATAATTGTCGTCGTCTGTGGGAAGATCTATACTTCTTGGCTAGAGGTGTCCGCGTAAAGGTGTTCGCAGTCAGCAACGAAAAAGTGGAGTTTGGCATTCACAAACAGAGCAAACTGTTCGCGTCGTAGGCGGTCGAATCGCGACAGATTCGGTGAGCAGTGGAAGCTTTGATTGACTGGATTCGCACCGCAGGTTGTGCGGTTTGGCGAGACGGAGGAGGAACAGTCCGTGAGCGATGGCCAAAAATTTGCGACAGACCTGTCAGCAAAGTATTTCAGAGCAGGAGTTTGGTCTTGCGAGCAACTCGAGCAGAGGGAAGAGGCGGAGATCGCGCAAAGAAGGGTTCAGGGAGTTCCCTGTTCGGGAGTTCGCGAAGCAGGAGGAACTGAGCAGTTTGGCGAGGCGCGGTGGCTCTGGAGAGGCAGGTGTCTTCGTGGTGGGGGGGGG